CCTCTGGTGTCCAGGGCGAGCCGCTCCGCAGAGGCCAACGGCGAGGAGCTGACGAGGATGTCGGCGCGCTGCCGAGCCCTGGAGGAGGCCCTGGAGGACGAGCAGCGGGCCGCCCAGCAGGCCCAGCAGGTCCTGGCCGACCACTCGTAAGTCGGGCAAGGGAAGGCGCATGATGGGTGATGGAGCCCTCCTCGATGAGGGTATTCTTGAGGAGGTCCCGCCTCACCGAGAGCATGAGGGTGTACAGCTTGGAGCTGGAGCGCACTCGCGCTCTGCTGGCGCTCGAGAGGACTCCCCGCCGCTCCGTGTGCCGACTCCTGGAGGTGCTCAGGGTACCCCTGGGCTTGCTGCAGGCCTTCTACCTTGCAGTGTGCCCCTACTCCACGTCTACTGCCACGAGGAGCCTGTGATACCGATTATTTTTCAAATTTCTCGAACCATTTATTGGATATACGCTGCTTCTATCCGGCCATATTGAACAGTGATTGTTGGACTTTAGCCGGTTTTAATAAGGGTAATGATGGGATGATTCACACAAACACACAAAAGAAAAATATTTTTGTTAAATTATATCACTTTAATATTTTTATGCATCTCCTGCACAGTGGAATTCTGAGATCATGTACATCTGTAATAGAAAGAAACGTCATTCTTCTACTTCCGTCTGTTGTGCAGAAAGGCAGATAAGACTACAATACAAGCCCTATTTATTTATAAGCCCCTGTTGATGGATTAATTGTTTTACTTTGTATTTTTATAATTTTCAATTTAGAGCACTGAATAATTGGTTATGAAAGGAATGGTTATAGTGCTTCAGTAATAGAAAATGGCTTTCTAATGACAAAGACAGTATTGCTATATTCAGAAACTTACAATTATTATGAAAAGATGCATAATATATGCAAGCACTTGTACTTTCCATTGTTGTTTTCAAAACACCAGGAAATAAAACTTAGTAGCTTTCTGTTTGATTTCTCAAAACTACAACACTCCAACGCCCATAGTTCCAACACAAACACCACTTTTTGAAAGGACGGAGCACAGATACTGTGCATTAACCATGAAAATAGTAGAAATCACAAACATTTCAACAATCTCTTAAATTTAATGAGATTATGTATTGTGCCAGACTTAGACTTCAGAAATTTAGGACTAACCATTTCAAAAAATGTTCTTAGCTTATCATTCTACTGTGCGCCACCCATCCCATACATTTCTTTTTCTTATCAACTTGAATGAGATGCAAAACAGTATATAAATTGAGACCATGTCTGTGAAAAAAATCATACTGTACACACATACATACACACACACTCACATTTCTCAAAATATTGTAGTAAAAGATGGTAGAAAAACATTTACACCTGGATATAAATGCACAAATTTTCAAATTCATGTTTGTTATTTTGTTTTGAAAAGTATTGTCAATGATGGAATGTTTCTGATATGCCTATTATTTTCTTAAACAGCCTCCAAAAAAAGAGGTAATAACCACAAGCAAATCTGAGCAAAAATAAGGGACATTTCTAATTAAAAACTAGACTTTCGGTAAAGAAAATTTCTAAGGGTGAATAAAAAACATAACAAGTGAGCCAAGAAAGGGTACTTTCACAGACTAACACTCTGAGTATCAAGAACTACCACTTTCAATAACATACATATTACCAAGAATACCAACGAGAAGAGAGATAACTCTTATTCTCTCACAACTTTTTCACCGTGACAGGAAAATGAAATTTCATAACCCTGCCACAATTGGTAAATTAGCCCCCAAGTAAATAAGGGCCTTTTTAAAACATCTATTCTTAGGCACAACCATGATCTTAACAATAACAGCAGAGGAGCTTTGATCTTACTAATTTAAATGTATATTTCTTAACAATTGAACAGCAAATCTATCACAGTTATTTATCTATTCAGCTACCCTATCATCCTGATCGTTTACTCCAATGTGGATAGGGAGACAAGGAAGGATGCAGTTCATATTACCGAATTAATCAGGAAACAAAAACTTGATTTTGCAATAATCTACAACCTATTTTATATTATACAGCAAAATACAAAATTTGAGAGATCCATTTTTCAAGTCAATTTGTGTAGCATAGGAATGTCTTGAAAACCCAGAGTGAAAAGTGGTTTTGAAATTATTATGAATGTTAATGACTAGAAAATATGCAGGAAAGAGTGTTTTAATGACTAGGCTTTGCCCGGGAATCCACATACATAAAATTGAGGCTATGAGTGGAGTTTGTAATAATATCTGTCATAGAATGAAATATTGATGATTGTGTAGGTAAAATAATATACCAGATGAACCCTGCATTTGAAATTAATTATATACAAGAATGTTTAAAAAGGCTTATGATGATGGCATAGCATGAAGTTTTGATGTATCGTATCAATGAGTCTGGTCCCCTCAAATACTTGAAAAATCTATCTGTTTTCATAAAACAAGATGGCTGACTTGAAAAATGTTGGCTAAGGCTTAACCAATTCTCTCCACCAATGTCACCATGTGCAAGGAGCAACTATAGGCCCTACAACCTGCAACCACAAAGGGTTTCTAGAACAATACAGAGAGCATTTTACAAAATATTTTTTTTTGGAAAATATAATCAGTTTGACACACCTGCTGGCAACAATTGCAATGTCAACAAATAAAATACTGAGCTACTCTTGATTCTAAAATGAGTTAACTAAATCATCACAGCCCCTATAAAATTCATCTCAAGTTACAATAAAAATCTCATTATAATAAATATCATAAAAATTAAAATAAATTCGTCCTTAAAGACATCAGACAACTCGGCATGTTCTCTAAATATTGTGCAAACCAAACTACATGAACAATTACCAGTAGCATACATCTATCATGGACACCAGACAACTCCCATAGAGGAGCAGAAAAAGATGGTAGTAAACACCAAACTGACATTAGTAGGAGTAGTAGAGTCGACAATGTAACCAGTGTGATCCATTTGACGCAGTAAAATGACCTCTTGTTTCTGTTTGATAAATTCTACACTTCAAAATGCAGTCTACAAAAAACATTAAGGTAAGTTATGTACGGCCCTTGCTTATAGCATCTAAAAACAAATTGTTATTGTATATGGTAAAAAAATTGCTATGACATAGATTTTAGCTTGTTACAATCACGTCCTGCTTTCCATTAAGCAATAACAGATATTGGATATTAGTTTAACATATTGACTGTAGCACCCCTTCGATAGATAGATAGATCGATAGATAATGCCATTAAGGGGAGACCCAACTGAAAAATTGCTGGTGTTCGCCATAGTGTAACAATAAGAGTTTATGGTGGATTTGCATACATGGATCCAGATAAGTATAAACCATTAACACTTCCTATAGTCTGCATAAACAATTTGCATCATGCCCAGGCAAGTTTTTATCTCTATCTTTATGGTGAATCTTGGTGAACCTGCAAAACCTCTACAACAGAATAGTATATTTCTTTGATTTTGAAATGTCTCATGCAGGATAATTTTCAAGTTATCAAACCGTGAGTATGCCCACATTTTCGTTGATTATCTAACCACAAACCTTGACATCGGTTGTGTAATCAGGCTAGTGGTTCTTCTGTAACAACTTAAACAAAGCAAGAAATTGAGAATTTTCCACAAATTTATAATTTATGAACTTTGGAGCAGGCCTGCCTTGCCTAGGCATAGAAATATGTGAGGTACAAAATTTTCCAGCAATGTTTAAACTCAAGAAAATATAACCAAAGAATTCTAGGGCCAAAGTTATCCTGCATGAATTTTTTTTCCCAAACACTGTTTTTCATTTTAATTTGACTTCTTACCTTCTAAAAACGAAATTGTACAGTTTGATCATGTCAGAGATGGTTTCCTACACTCTTTATCACACGACGAAGCATAACGAGCGCAAAGTTTTCCTTTGGCATTTTCAGTATGGTCTCTCTTTAAACTCATTGCATAAACTTGATTATTAGTGCCAGCTTTAAAACAGTCCAAAACCTTCAGCCCCTTCATTTATTGCAATACGTAAGGCCTTTTCAAAGTGCTCATAGCTTTCATATTCTGGTAGACAAAGTTGGTTGAAACTGGAACATAGAAATAGAATATTAGAATAAATATTAACAGAGCAATAGTTCAAATATCTCTTTCAAATACTTGTGATCCACTCACCATGTATGTGCTGTTGGCAAGGAACCAAAAGTCGGCGCAGCTGTAATTTGGAATCTAGGGCTAAGTTCTCTAAATCCTCCAGGGGGTAATTGAGAACAGCCAGTAGTAAATTGCAATAGTCGAGCCATTTCCTCTTTTGTGAAATTAGAAACAGCAGTCCAAAACCATTCTAATGACCTCCGGAAATCGGCAGATCCTCCATTAATTACGTGATTGGCTTTGAAGTCCGACACATTATATTCTTCGGTTCCACACAGCAATAACTGTTCAAAATAAATTTAATTCAAAATAAGGTTAAAATACTTATTTGATTCCTAAATACAGAGAAAATTATTTTTATCTTACCTCTAGTTCATTTTCATCAAATATGCTAAGGAGGTTGTCTGGCACAAGATCAGTCAAACCTTTCAGGAATGCCTCTACCTCATCCCTTACACTTGTTGCCAATCTATATTGGGCAAGCGCATCTAAATATTGTTGCTTGGTTGATTCTTGAACACGAATTTTGGATCCATTGGGAATCAGCTCTACAACCTGTTACAAATAAGATAGTAAATATAGATAGATGATATATTGAAAGAGTTTAGAAAATGTAACAGTTAAAACATACTTCAACGAGTTGACCAGCTCTGTCATATTCTTCTTCTATAAAGTAGAGATCCATCTCTTCTACATCATTCTCAAGAATGTATTTGATTTTGCTAAGGTACAGCTCTGGATCATCTTGCTCGAAGTACTATAAAAAGACATTCAAGTTTAAAAATAAGAAATGCATTTATAGCATCTTGGTAAATGTATAATGAACAAATGTGGGTAATAAATGCTTACTTTGTAGTGAACTCTAAGTCCAATAATTTGTGCAAGAAATGACCGAGTAAAACGAGCTCGCACCATTTGTCTATAAACACCGCCCAAGGAAGACTCATATAAGCACTTTCCGACAATACGTCCAGCAAATTCAAGATGTTTTAATTTCAAATGTGGAGGTCGTCTATGAGCAGGGGTGGGATGCACAAGGGCTTGCTGGTTGCTAGATTCACTGAATGCTGTGAAAAGCTTGTTTCTTGAGTCAAATAAAGCAGCACAAACTAGCTCAAACCATTCACGACGAACTCCACCCCAGTCAATACCCTGCTCCCCAATAAATGCCACCTCAAAATTTCTGCACCAGTCACTAACAGAGAAGCTCTTCGTAACTTTCATAGACTGAAAAAATAAAACACATTGTAAATCTGGTTGGAATTGTTGAACACAGAGGTATAATACGTATGTAACATAATAACAGATCCTTGGTATACTTACAGATTCAAGCAGCTTTTCACGCTGCACTCTTAAACTCAGTTTTTCATGGAAATGTTTTTGATGCATTTTCCGTACTTCATGATAGAAAAAGTCCCTCTTATCTTTGAATGTCTCAGATCCTCCTACAGATATAAAAAGTAAAAATAAATTACCAGTGATAAAAAATAGTAAAATAACTCAAAATGAGAATTGAACTTATTTTTTAACTTGCCTATGTTCTTGAGTAGAAAATGGGTGAATGTTGCAGCTAAAACATTTCTATCTCTAGCAACCAACTCTACTTTTGGTTGAGAGCCATCATCAATAATAAATCCCGGAAGACCAGAGTGCTGATTGTTGTTACCAAGGTAATTGAACTGTAATCATTCACATTAAAAATCAGAATTTTAAAAAAGAAAGAAAACACATAACTGTGTTCATTAAAGGCAAAATTTGATTTCGTACTTTTGTTGACGGACACAAGCGGAAAGTGTACAGCCTCTTAGGGAAAAACTTGAAAACATAATCTTTAATTGTGATTTGCTTGGGAGAGACATAACATGCAACCCGCCTTGGCTTAACTAGTCTGTCTCCATTCAAGCTGACAAGTCGAGCTTCATAACATATGTTATGATTTTTTGATGCAACATTCTTGTACACCAAGTTTGCATCATTACCTATCAAAAATAAATAGTTATGAATATGTTTTTTAAGTGTGAGGAAAGTGGTACTTAACAACACAATTACTTATTTACCTGATAGAACCAGAATATCAAATTCTCCATTGTGAAGAGGTACACTATTGTAACTCACACATGCATGGTAGCATCCCTCAGGCATGATACAAACAACAAGTTCAATTCGGGAAGTAAAAATATCATATTCCATATTGATAGAACAATCTTCAGCAGGTTCTGTACTTCCAACCTGCCCAAAAACAAATAGAAACTTTTGAATAAAGTACCACACAAAGGTTTATGGTGGTTATTTAGCAAGCACACTCCATAGTTGATTTTTATACAGCTTTCTTATGTTTGTAGAAACTTACTGCAGTAATGTTCACCGTATATCCTGATAAAGGGTCTTCCTCATCTTCAAATGTGCACAGGTTGTTGAATTCATCTCTTGGTTCTATATGCAATGGATAAGGTGTTTTGGCTGTACACACCACTGTAGAGCTGTGCCGAACAAATACAGTATTCCTTGGATTTGGTGCACCTTAGAAGGAAAAATTAAAATGAGAGTATGAAGAGAACGGACCTACTTGGAATCTTTTATACTTGTCAACTGTCTTACCTGGAAGAAACTTTTTTTGGAAAGGACTTCCCTGGACATGACAATTTCCTACCAAAACAACAATGCGATAGACACCAGCATGACGCACAGTGAATTTTACTTTGGCAATGTTGGCCTCTGATGGCTCAGTGCCACCTAACTCTGATAAAGTGGCTACACGTCGAATGCCTTCATTGACCTCCACAACAAGACTATCTGTATCACATATTGGATACGGTTGTCCATTTCTTTGGTAAAACTGTATCAAGAAAAATTTGATGTAGGAAAAATTTGATGTAGGAAAAATTTGATGTAGGAAAAATTTATCAAAATAGAAAGTTTACACAAAATTTATTTGAAAAGACTTACCCTGACAGTAAAAGTTACTGTTTCTCCAACAACTGCTGGTTCATCCCACTCAAACGTTACCGTGCAGTTAGAGGGCAGAAGGTATTTTCCTGTGACATATTGAAGAAGAGATGTCTTTGCTTCTGGAGCAAGAGAGGGTTGGGTCATGGCGGCCAGAGTAACCAGTCCCGCCACTGAGACTGATACAACCAGCATCCCTCCTGCAAAGATTAGATTATAGTAACACATTGTTATATTTTGAAGACTGATGAGTTCAATTAAGAGGCACTAAGAGGCATTTAATTTACCCCAAGTCCAGGCATCTTCATGCTGGCTCTCCTTAACTACACCTGACCAAAGTTCTGTCTTTAGCCATTCTAGCTGATCTTTAGATGATGGGAGTGTCTGTCGAGCAGCAGACCACAAAGCAAAGTCTTTGCCGACTAACTGCTGTGCTCTGTTGTCTTCAAGCCAGTATACATCCTCCAGGGCTGTTACATCAGCATGTATCAGCCTGTACATTAAAATATAAATAATAATTGATCAAGTTATTTTTCTTAGTAAATTTATATATCAACCAAAACCGTTAACAAATTTTTGATTGCATATTCTCACCTGTGGTAGTATTGTCCAAGGCCGAGTTGATTTAACCACCTCCTAAGAATGAGCCTTTGTCGCAGAGAATGAGCTGCTCGTTGCAACCTGGCCTCGTCATATTCGGGAAGTTCCGGAAAATCTGGGAGTTCAGTCAAAGTCGCGCAGCTTACCAAACTCGA